TAATGAGTAAAATGTGTGTTTTTCATGGAATATACATCAGAAAAACTTACTTATCTACCGATCATAAACCAAAACAACACATTTACAAATGGCGTTTGTGATTTTGTTTTGAAGGTTTGTTAAGTCCCACTAAGGGGAAGTGACGTCACTCCGCTCCGACCAATATCCGTAGCCATCTCGACCACCGCGATTTGTTCTCGCAAATGAATTTGGAATGAAAATAAATTTGAAATGAAAATGAATTTGGAATGGAAATGAAAATGAATTTGGAATGGAAATGAAAATGAATTTGAAATGAAAATGAATTTGAAATGAAAATGAATTTGAAATGAAAATGAATTTGAAATGAAAATGAATTTGAAATGAAAATGAATTTGAAATGAAAATGAATTTGAAATGAAAATGAATTTGGAACAAAAATAAATTTGAAATGAAAATGAATTTGGAATGAAAATGAATTTGAAATGAAAATGAATTTGGAATGAAAATGAATTTGTAATGAAAATAAATTTGGAATGAAAATAAATTTGAAATGAAAATAAATTTGGAATGAAAATGAATTAAAAATAAATAATAAAAATATTCGTAGCCATCTCGGCCACCATACTATGTATACCAGGATAATACAATCATTTACCTTAACCAAAAACGCCTGTGCATCCAGCTCCGAGAAAATTTAAATCGTATTGACTAGGTGGCAGTTTAGGGCATTATCGGTTTTCATTAATAAAATGTTGACACATGAAGCACTCACAAGTTGTCGAAGTCAACGCGTTTTTAATTAATACGAAAGCGATTATCTAAGAGCTGTAAAAACACCATTTCACTCATATGTAAAAGAAAAATGCCTGTGTCTCTGTGCTTGTGTGTATCAAGTCATCAATAATATTATACAAATTGCTAAATATTTGATGATGTTTTACATTGCAATCGTATAGACTGTAGTCACTCTTTCTAAACAGTAAATACACTACTAGCACGACTCCCTCTAAGAAATTTTCCAGAGTAAACCCTACGATATTATAGTCGTGTGTGATTGTGCCTATGCTGAAATACAGAAGAATTTCTATCGAATATCTTTGTAAGAAGCAAGCTAATTGAAACCTGCTTGTCGGGGCGACGCTTATAAGGTTTTCAATATACGATCGCCAAATTAATGTTATAAGGCATGACGGCAAGCCACTCAAAAACAGTTGCGAGCGGGTTGCGAATCACTGTCCATAAATTTCGACATGAGCAAAAACGTCTTGATATAAATGCCCTGCACACTACAAAAAGAGACCCGATAAAAACGAGTCACTGCTGATTACGATTTGGTGTTTAAATGTTGTCTTACCTAACGTTTAAAAGGCGTAAACATGACAAATCCATCGCCCAAATTTTCGGTTTTCATAACTGGGGATAAAACCATACCATTTCTTCTCATTTCTGAAGGTAAACGTTAATTTTTACATAGTATGAGTAAAAATGTAACACAGATGTAAAAAAATATTAAATTTTCATATTATATTTATGCTTAGATATTCACACTCACTAATACTTCGGCATAGAACGAGTTATAACATCGACATTAGCTAAATCTTGCATGGTGTTTACTGTTTGATAGGTGCACAATTTCCTTTTTGGTTACTTTTTACCTTTCTATTTAGCAGTAAAATTACCAAATTGAAGTAAACGTAAGTTTAAAAGCAGCGCCACCTATCGAGTTGACATGTTCACCTAGCACCGGTGTCGCGCGAAATATCTGACGAGTGCGAAATATCTGAGATAGCCCCGCCCCGCCCCGACCCGACCAATGACAGCTCGTCTTTGTGTTACGATAGGTTCTGTACACTTGAAGGTTTGAGTAAAATACCAAGTTCTGATACAGGGTAGCGAAGGAGCAGTGTAGGGAGTGGGAGGAAGAGGGAGGAGGAAGTTTAGAGTAGTACGGAGGTTAGAGTAGGTGGAATAGGGAGAAGC